TCTCTCTCTCTATCTCTCTCTCACACACACACACACACGCACACAGTCTAAAATTACATTAATGAAATATAATAATAATAAAAATAAAAGAATTATACAAATGCAAATGAAATTGAATAAAAATGATATTTTAATTAAAAATGAAATTGAAAATAATAATACAAAATCATGAAATAAACAGTTTCTTTCCCATAGCTTATTAGATCCTGTTAAACAAAACACATTTGAACTGAATCAACAGGCAAACAACATAATAGTCAATATGTTTTATTAAAACAAAGAAAATATACAACATAATATAATGCAAATCAAAATCTGATTTTAAATAAACATGCACATTTTATTATTAATAATAAATACATAAATACATATAATATAAAATATATAAATATAATAAAATATATGCATAATTAATAATAATAATAATAAAAATAATAACGAATGAATTTAGTCAAAATATCACAATTACATCATCAAACAGAAGCGCCCTTCACACTGCGTCTGTAACTGTACCGGCGAGCAGCGGCCTCTGGCGGCGGGAGAATCAACCGCAGACTGTAGTTTATATTTTGGGGTGATTGCGTCATTTCCGCCGTTCGTCCTTCACCGAGCCGCTGCTGTAACTCGTGACTGTCAGACAGCATCATGGCGTGAGTTTATTAATCCTCATAAACTCACAGAAACAACAGCAGACATGTGGAGGATTCAGAGTTTGGTGGGCAGAGGTGAGCGATTATGAAACACCCACGAGCTGCGATACATTAATACACTGTTACATCCGAACTGATACATTGATACACTGTTACATCCGAACTGATACATTGATACGATACATTAATACAGTGATACATTGTTGCGATGTTTCACTGCATGCGACTGTGTGACAAGTATCATTAAGAAGAGCAGGACTTTAGTTGAATATCTGAATAAAACGCATATTTTAATAAGTTTGAGGATAGTTTCGGTTTCAGTTGCAAATTGTATTAAAATCAACAGAAAACAGGGAAAACAAACACACACCCACACAAACAAACAAATAAATAATATAAAGATACCTAACGATAACTACACTGTGACGTTTTAATAATCGTTCTAATTCTATGAAAATAGTTAAATACACACCACAGCTATTATGGCCATAACGACACAAGAACGATATCACTGGAATCACTTTGAGAACGTTTAAAAAAAAACAACAACAACGTCGACAACCAATCAGAATCCACCAAACTTCAAAGAGCGCGATTATTTGAAGCGCACTATAAAAACAGAACGTTATTGTGCGTTAAAAAGCGTGTTAATTCTGTTAAAATAGTGAATTCAACACCTCAGCTACACTTTAAGGCGGCAGACAACAAAACCGTTCGCACTTGTCATGCGTTATAAGGCCCAGTTGAACGATATCTATAAGGTAACTATAACGATAACTAAATTAGCATCCACACCAACAACTATAAACATAACTATAACAATAATTATATCAGAATCCACACAAACTGACCAAAACGTCCTGTTCGTTATAGGCGCGCGCTTCAGTTACATGTTTGCCGCGCTTTATAGTCAGGTGGATTCTGATTGGTTGTCGATGTTTTTATCGTTCATCACCAGCTCGAAAAAAAAAAAACGTTCTGAAAACGATTCCAGTGTTATCGTTATAGTTGCGGACTCGTGGAATTAGAACGATTTTTAAAGCTTAAATAAATGTATAAATTAAATTAAAATACATTTATACGCTGTAAATTTCAATATGTTCAAGTTACTTGAAAAAAATCTCAAAAAAAAAAAAAAATCTCGTTATGGTTGCTCAATGTGTTCATGTTTACTCAGAAGCTAATTTATGAAAACGTTAATATGCTAAGTAACCTTAACTAGTTTTTCTGAGGCAGTAAGTTTGCAAGATTTGTTCAAGTAAAGTTAACAAATTGAAATTTACAGCGTAGTTATTGTTGTTGGTGTGAACGATTCTTTCGACAAAACTGCATCGCTTATAATAAAAACAGAATTTTATCGTCCGTTTGTGTGGACGCTAATATAGTTATTGTTATAGTTATACTTGTCGTTTTTTGGTGTGGAGGCTAATATAGTTAGCATTATCGTTCTTGGTGTGAACTAACGGTACACAAGCATGATGGTTCGGTACGTACATCGGTTTTGACATCACCGTTCGGTATGGTGTATTAAAAGCATAAAATTGCTTTTTTTATATATTAAACAGCTGTTTACTGAACAAAATCCTCTTTCTTTAAATAAATAAATGCAATTATAGTTAAAAATTTTATTAGGGATAAAAATCTACCTCAGCTTATGCTCTAAACTATAGCGAGTCCTTTTACATTACTATATGGTTACAAACTTAAATTCAATTACTATTTATTTTTAAATATAATAATCAATACTCAAATTAAAAAATTTTATGCAAACATTTAAATTTCACACAATGCAGTTTTTAAATTACCTTCTAAATCTAATTATAAAATTTCTATTTGCTGTTGAAATATAATCATTTACACAGCGGCTGTCATAACTTGTTTCATAACAGATTTATTTAATTAACATTAAATAGTTAAGACATCACTAACAGGTAAAGTAGAATATAATGAGTATATAGTCCAATATTTCGCGAAATGATCTTCTCTAGACTTCATTTATAGCGAACTAATGAGCTGAAGACACTGATGTCGTGACTTAATGAAATGCTACGAGACATTTTGTTTACAAGCAGTTTTATTGACGTCTTTCCGCTTTTGAAACACTGATTGAGCGATTACATGAGACGTTCCCCTAGTGTGAACGCTCCTTTAGATCTCAAATCACTGCAGATCTCTCTTGTGCATTTCCACAGCAGACGTTGCATTTGTCTGTTTGTAAACACAGAACCTCTGAAAGCTCACATGTGTTTTGCTCCTGACCCGCAGTGTTGAGCCGTTGCCATGGAAACGCTCCGCTGCGGCTCTCGCAGGGTCATCACGTGGAGGACGAGGTCCTCAACTCCTCCATCCTGAGCAGCGGACGACACGCGTCTGACAGCAGCAGGTACCGGACCGCACGCGAGATCCGTGACCCTGAAACCACTGAGATGAACTAACTGTCCCTCTGTCCCTCAGTTCTCACAGTTCTCACGATCAGAAAAAGAAGCGGACATCTCAGTTCTGCTACACTGGTCTGCCGAGATACACCGCTCTCGATGCAGTGGGATGGGTAGTTCACTTATAACTCTACTGTTTTTCATATGTCATCTCTGCGGTGTGTGTGTGTGCGTGCGTGTTTGTGCGTGTGTGTGTGATTGTGTGTGACTCTGTGCGTGTGATTGTGTGTGACTCTCTGTGTGTCTGTGTGTGTGTGTGTGTGTTTGTGTGTGACTCTGTGTGTGTGTGTGCGTGCGTGTGTGTGTGCGTGTGTTTGTGTGTGACTCTGTGTGTGTGTGTTTGTGTGTGCGTGTTTGTGTGCGTGTGTTTGTGTGTGCGTGTTTGTGTGTGACTCTGTGTGTGTGTGTGTGTGTGTGTGTGTGTGACTCTGTGTGTGTGTGTTTGTGTGTGCGTGTTTGTGTGCGTGTGTTTGTGTGTGCGTGTTTGTGTGTGACTCTGTGTGTGTGTGTGTGTGTGCGTGCGTGTATGTGTGTGTGTGTGACTCTGTGTGTGTGTGTGCAGGGCGCCGCTGCGGTTCTCTTCATGCAGCTCTGTCACAGGATTCACTCTCGGCTGTCCTCGCACGCGGATCAGAACCCTGGACCGGCCCGGATACGGAAATGCTCCTACAAAGTCCTGATTGACATCTGTGAGTCCTGCTGTCAATCATACAACATTTCAACCAATCAGAGATCAGTCAGGCCAACACAGGTGTCTCTTGCTCAGATTCAGAATTTAGTAGTTTTACTGACATATTTTTTATATTATTGAGAAAGCATTAGTAACATTTACACGGATGTGCATAATTGAAAATAAAAATTCAGATCAAAATAAATAAAGTAGAAATAAAAAAAAAATGATATCAATCAGAGATGAGTCACTAATAATATATAATTGACAGAGCATTAGTAACACATACACACATATGCATAAAAATATCCAGATCAAAGTATAAAATTATAATAATAAATAATATTCCTACTACCACTACTACTAATACTACTAATGATAAAGTAGAAATGAAAATAAAAAATTCAACCAATTAGAGATCAGTAAATAAAAATGTATTATTGCTAAAGAATTTGTAACATTTACATGCATATGCATAATTTAAAAATAAAAGTTTAAATAAGAAATGAAAAAATAAATTTGACCAAATTTAACTAACTATTTGATAAACTAATTATTACTAATTAATATTTGCTATTATTTGTTATGTAAACTTGGCTGTGTATTTCACTCATTTCACAAAATGTGCAACAGACCATTTAAATTGAGTCGTGTAACCTTTTAATGTTTGCATGACTGCATTTTAGTTTGAGAATAGTTTGTGATGTGAAGTTAGTAATGCTAAAACTGCGTGAATATTTGCATGCTTGATGTTAATTGCATTATAGGAGTCGCTTTAGAATATAAAAGTTACAGCATGGTTCAGATGATAAAAGAAATATGACTTATAAATCAGAAAATATGGTATGGTATGTCATTTAAATAAATAAAAAAATCTAGATTAAAATAAAGTAATAACAATAATAAAATAATAAGCGGTTTGTTTAACTCTGTACACTAATGTGTCTCTCAGTGTCCAGGCCGAATGCTTTATCCGACGGTGTGATGGTGAAATGCCTGCAGACCCCAGACAGCGGCTCCAGTGACCGTAGTCATGGTAACGGTGATGGAGACGCCACCTCTGACCTGCAGACGGCGCACAGCTCTGATGACCAGCAGGAGGAGCCGGAGAGCGCCGCGTCACACTGCGGTCAGAAAAACCAACATACTGTACACATTCACAGCTGAACCAAATATTAGATAGTACTTTTTATTTTATTTTTTATTCATTTTTACATATATGTGCACTTTATAATTAGGTTGGCTTGAGAAAGAAACAAACATGCTAGTGACATGCTAGTAACTTGCCAATCATGCTAGAAACATGCTCGTCACTTGCTAATCATGCTAGCAACATGCTAGTCACTTGTTAATCATGCTAGCAACATGTTAGTGACATGCTAAAAAAATGCTAGCCACATGTTAGTAACTTGCTAATCATGCTAGAAACATGCTAGTCACTTGCTAATCATGTTAACAACATGCTAGTAGCATGCTAATCATGCTAGTAACATGCTAATCAGGCTAGAAAAATGCTAGTGACATGCTAGTAACTTGTTAATCATGCTAGCAACATGCTAGTCACTTGTTGCTAGTCGCTAGTCATGCTAACAACATGCTAGTTACTTGTTAATCATGCAAGCAGCATGTTAGTTACTTGCTAATAATGCTAGCAACATGCTAGTAACATGCTAATCATGTTAGAAACATGGTAGTGACATGCTAGTAACTTGTTAATCATGCTAGCAACATGCTAGTTACTTGTTAATCATGCAATTGCAGATTCATACAGTATAGATGTGTAGTGTTGACTCTTGATTCTTGATTTTCTTACAGATGAAGAAACTCTTTTTCCTGAACAACTGAAACCAGAGGTAACAATTTAGACCGAAAAACACAGTTTGTCCTTGTATTTGAATCAAAATTGAACTGAATTGATCTGACTATTGTATTGTGTAGAGCTGTTTTATAGCTGAAATTGAATTAGTTTCATAATTAGTGAGTTTTGCAGCATTAACACGGTTGTTGAACTGAACTGAATCAACATTGAATAAATTAAACTGAATAGACTGCAAAAAAAGATTTTATTACTCAATATTTGTGTCTTGTTTTCTATAAAATCGATCAAGGTTTTGCTTAAATACAATGGGGTCAGAAAAATAATCTTGTTTTCTCTTTTAATTAAGTTTGTTTTTCTTGTTTTAAGCAAAAACTTACTCAGTTTTCATACATTTTCCAGAAAACAAGAATTACGTTTATTTTCTGATGACACTGTCAGATATTTTTTTCTCTTGTTTCAAGCATAAACTCATTTCATTTTGATGCATTTTTCAGAAAGCAAGAAGTAATTTTGCTTCTCAGGTAAATGTATCTTTATTAAGAATGTTTATATATTTGTTCTGGAAAACAAGAAATACTGAGTAAAGACACTGTTGTCTTCTGTAGAGCTGATTTACAGCTAAAGTTTAATTTGTTTCATAACGTAAGATAGATTTTGCAACATTAACAGTGTTATTTTCCTGTGTATTACTGTGCTTTGAAACAGTCTGTATTGTATAGACCGCTATGCAAATAGATGTAATTTAGTTAGACGTGTATGTTTCCTGCAGGAAGGTGTTTCTCTCGATGCAGCAGCGCAGAATTTGCAAAGCGTGGCAGACGCCAGCGTTCCCGTAATCCTCAACATCATCGGTAACGACGAGCTCACACACTCAGAGCGCCGCTGCGTGATGTGAACGTGCGTCTGAACGAGTTCTCACGTGTTTCAGGTCTAGAGAGCGCGAGAGCGGGCGCCTACGAGACGGCCTTCTCCTGTTTTCTGGCCTCGGCGCAGCACGACTACAGCAAAGCTCAGTTTAACCTGGGAGTTTGTTACGAGAAGGGACGAGGAGCGCAGACGGACCTCAGCAAGGTGCTGGGATTCTCCCTGAGTTATATGGATGCATGCATTTTGCGTGTTTGAAAATATTTGCATGTTTGCATGCTTGATGGTAATTACATACAATAACTTGCTTTGGAAAATTAGTTGCAACATGTTTCAGATGATTAAAAAAAATGACTTGCAAAATCCGGTACATAATTTAAAAGAGCTTAAGATAAAGTAATAACAATAACAAAAATAAAAGTAGAATTAAAAGGCATTTTATCTGTATTTTGCTTACATTCATATAAACTCCTAGCCCTAATTGAATCGCGATTTGTTTAGCATCTCAACCGATTTGAATCGTCACATATTTGAATCGATTTTCAACCGGCTCGCGGTTAATCGTTACATCCCTAATTAAAAATAATATAAATATAAATAAATCTCCTGTGTCTCTCTGTCTTCAGGCTCAGGTGTGTCTGGGTGTGGTTTTGTCTCAGCGTCCGGACTGTGATGAGAAGAAGTGTGTTCATTATTTCAGGATGGCGGCTGAGAGCGGGGTAATGCATCTCTCCTCTTCATATACTCAAACGCTTTGAATGTTTTAAATGACAGCGATGTGAGGTCTGAAGATGATGTGTTGACGTGCAGGACGCCGCGGCTCTCGTGTGTCTGGCTCAGTGCTACGAGACAGGTTTCGGCGTGTCTCCGTGTGTCCAAACCGCCGTCAGTCTGTATCATCAGGCAGCAGCCAGAGGAAACCAGCGGGCCAGAGACGTTCTGAGAGACAGACACAGCCGAGACGGTCAGACACTCACACACAGACACACACACACACACACAGACAGACAGACACACTCACACACACACACACACACACTACGCTCACTCACACTCACACACAGTCACACACACACGCACACAAACAAACACACTCACTCACACACACACACAGAGAGACACACTCACTCACGCACACGCACACACACTCACGCACACACACACACACACACACACTCACTCACTCACTCACACACTCCGCTTACACACACACACACTCTCTCACACACACTCACTCACTCACTCACACACACTCCGCTCACACACACACAAACACAAACTAACTCACTCACTCACTCCGCTCACACACACACACACAGTCACACACACACACACAAACAGGCTATACATATCATCGCTGTCCGATGAAAAACACATTTTCCACTTCTGGCAGTTTTGATTAGTGTAATTGATACAGTACCTTGAACAATACTGATATTCTACACCACAGGGAATTTAATTTGCTCTTTAAGATGAAACACTGCCATTTATCATCGTTTATTTGGGTGAGCAGAATATATTTATGGGGTATATATTGTAGTATAGCTATATCTTTATTTGCATATGAGACATTGAGATTATAGTTCACTAAAACTAAACTGACATTTCCTAACTGTAAAATAATAAATTAATATTTCATAACAAGTATAATAATTATTTTACTTTATAGTAGTAAAAAAATGCGTATGACTTAATTTCTTCACTTACAAGAGTTTGAGCTCTTATAAAAACCCTCGAGCTTTTATATCGGCTGAAACCTGCAGGAAGACCTTTAAGTTTAAGGTTTACAAACTTCATTACGAATCTAGAGAAGTCAATACTGTGCAAAAATGAGTCGAAAATCTATATTTCTGACAACACTATCACAGATGTGTCTAAAGGTGCTAAAGGCGACTAATTTATTTAGCAAGATAGCTTTTATTTTTGTTTTTCATTGGACAGCAAAAATATAATATAAACATTTAACTCTAAAATCTAAATATATATAGTTTTTTCCTTTTTTTAAATGTTGTGTGTTTAGTTTTATTGCATTCAGTCCTTTTTAAAGAATAAAAACAAAATAATTTATAACAAACAGTTTTACCATTATCATCTAGGTGACTTTTTACATGTATAACTTTTTTCTTTTTAAATCTGCATTTGATTTATAAATCTCTCTCTTTCTCTCTAGTGCTGCGCTCGATCCGATCGGCTCCTTGCTTCTCTGTGATTGGCCAGCTGAATCTCAACTCCATGTTTCCTCAAGAGAAGCCCCGCCCACAGCAGCGATCTGGCTGCCAATCACAGCCGCTTCCTCATTCCTGGAGCACAGGAAGTCTGAGTGTGTCGCTTCAGATGCTCAGTGCTGAAAGCAGCCGCAAGGTTTGGACGCTCGGGGTGCGATAGCGTGATCAATTCACCTCTCATCTCATAATCACATAAAGCAGCTTATTTGACCGATACAAACGCATGCACAAGCATGTAGCCATTAGAAACGCACACAGAAACTGCCTGATCTGACCGATGAATGTTCTCAGCCAATCAGAGCAGAGCTGGAGAGTTCCGAGCTCAGTGATTGGCTGGTTAGGATGTCATAGATTATTCATGAGCTTTCGTTTCAGCCACTAAATATATTTTGCCAGTGGGAAGTGTTTGGTTTTGTATATATATATATATATATATATATATATATATATATATATATGTGTTTGGTTGTGGAGAGAACGTCTGAATACAGTGGAATGAGTGTTTTTATTGAGCGTGTAGAAAGGGATGTGCCAGAGTAAGCTTATCTTTATATTTTTCTTCTGTATAATCGTGTCTTTAAAATGTCTTATGGAGGTCACTTTGTGTCATTTTCTTGTTTTCTGTGCTATTCGGACACATTGTTTACGTGATTATATTAAAACAGTAAGCTCACATATTCATTCAGAAGCAGAAGAATGATCGGTTATCAAAAATTAACAACAAAACCATGTGATCGGCACCGTTTAATGCTAAATTAATCACATGTGTGCCAAAGGTTTAATTAACATGTGCCTTAATCAGATGTGCAGTTTATGGAAAGCCAGTGGTATTTTACGAACCTCAATATCAGAGCTAGAACTTTGTGTTGTTTGTATGTATCTTGTATCTTTGTATGTTTAGTATTATGAGGTTTATTGAGTGTCATCTCACCTTAAAACACTGTCTAAACTACAATAAAGACTTATGTGTTTTTAACTTTGTGTTTGACTGATGCATCCTAACAAAAAAAGTAAAACATTTTCGAGTAGTATGGTTTAGGGGTGACCCCGAATAGTCGAACATTCGATGCTTTGTTACGAGGAGCATGATTCGACTACCAATCTCACAGTCGAATCTTCGCCGTGTGCTGAACTCATTCCCTCTTTTCCCATCACATATCAGATCGGAAAGACATTTAGTTTCAGTGTGAAGTCAAAATGAAGGAAATGTTTAAAAAATGGAAATAAAGTGCCTTGCCGTCGCAAGTATTTAATAGTTTTATCGGTTAGGTTTAGGTAGGAACGCCTTTATTGTCCCAACATAAGGCGGCATCCATTTAGAAATGTAAAAAAATATATGATAATTTACAATCAATATGTTATTACTGCATACTGTTTTATAATGTACTACTGAGGTGCAAATATCTGCCATTTTTGGTATAAAAAGAAAATGCTGCTATTTTTACATAATGTAAATAGAATCTAGCATTATTTGCACGTAGTGTAAATAGCATATCGCTAATAAATTACTGCTATTTTCACTTAATGTAAATAGAATCCATTTCTATTTGCATAGCCGTTCCCATATTAAATTATTCAAATAAGTTAAATTACACTTTAAAAATGAAACTCAAACCACCAGCAGGTGGCGGCAAGTCACTGTCTTTGTCACTAAATCAGTCATTTATTCAATCAAGGTCGATTCTTTCATACAGCTGATTCATTCAGACATTTGTATTTATGAATGGGTCATTGAATCATTGACTCACTAGAATCGTTCATAAATGCACATTCATTCATAAACGGAAGACCTCTGTGTTTGCATGGAGTTGAGCAGCGGCTCAGCTGTGACTTTGTTTGGATCTATTTTCGCTCGTGAAATACAGCAAAATTCGACAACAGTGTTCCTAAAATCTAAGTTACAATATTAACTTATTGAACTGTTGTATGCAATCAATATCACATTTGCAAACTCCCTCTATAATCATTAAAAAGCTGTCACTCAGTTCATCGAGGTATTACGGCCATGCAAAAGCCCACATTGCACAGCTAACCATAGACAAATGTCCCGCTATTAGCCTATTATGTGCGGAAGTCGGATCGCTTTCCTACGCTATTTAATGGATAAAATATAGAAATCCCTTTAATTTCCCAAAATGGAAATGGAAATCCCCACCTCCTCCTGTGAGCGAGCGTGTATAACCATGATGAGGTATTACGAATGCAAAAGCCCACATTGCACAGCTAACCATAGACAAATGTCCCGCTATTAGCCTATTATGTGCGGAAGTCGGATCGCTTTCCTACGCTATTTAATGGATAAAATATAGAAATCCCTTTAATTTCCCAAAATGGAAATGGAAATCCCCACCTCCTCCTGTGAGCGAGCGTGTATAACCATGAAATATATTTATTAATTTTGTTGCACTAAACCTTAAGGTTCTTTGCCATCCAATTGCGCTACGTTTCCATTGTTTTTCTGATGTGTTTGTTTATGCTCTTTAAGCTGCTTCACCAAGCAGGGGCAGAGCACCAAATGTTGGGCCCCAGTCACACAACACCTCATCAAACACCCAAGACTGATTTATTTTCACTATTATTTTTAAAATTTATTTTCACAGTCTATTTTCAGAGGGTCCAAAAGAAACTAGTAACATAGCAAGATATTAATATATTACAAATGTAGACTTAAAATATTTTTCAGATAAGCAATCATTGCTTTAAAAAGATCAAGTTAAAAGTCGATAATTAAATTAACATCAAAAACAAATTCTGTAATTTTTTCTTTCCGTTCATTGCTATGGTTATCACATGTCAATCATCTCACTTTCGGGGCAGAATAATGGAAAGAAAATTTAGCGCATTCACTCCCGTTTTCGTCAAATTTAATCATCTACTTTGTACCAATGTACCGTATTTGACAACACTAGGCTATTGTAAATGTATGGATAAGCAGTTACACAGTCAGGCTTTTCTCTTGCAAGGCTCTCACCATTCTTCCAAGAAAAAGTAGCCTATTTAGTCAAAAGTTGTCTCCCCGTCTGCAGCTTTCTTTCCCTTTGCGAGGCATCTGTTACACATTTTCCCTGTGTGTTAACGTCAGTATTTATGACTGTTGAATGTCTGACTGCTTGACTCTTGGTAATGTGTTTTGCCCCTCGCCCCCACACACATAGGCAAGACTTGACAATTCTGATTTGACTATGTAAATCCTTAGTCGGGGACACAACTAATTGCCAACTATGCTGGCACACACATTTGTTTTGGTGACCGAAGAAGCTTCCAGTACACAAAGATAATAAAAAAATAAATAAAGATAGGTAAAAGATGTAAAAATAAGTAATGAGATCACATTCCAGAATGAGACTGAATTGGTACATGTGAAGAATAGAATTGTTGATTCATTTTCAGAAACACAAAAATAAGAGTTTGTATGAATTTCCATGAATTTAGCCAAGAAAACAGCAAGGGTAAAAAGGATTTTAATATGAATCTCTTGTTTGGTGTTTGTCAATGGTTATATCGTGACCAGATATTAAGGTAAGATACTGAGGATAAATCTGCAGCCATAAACCCACAGCTTTCTGGGAAACACTGTTTGAAGCACCTTGTAGAAGTTACATGAGCTCTGTGGATTAAGGTATAATAACAGTGACATCATCTGGCGCCGCACTGCAGCCGCCAGAAACAAAAAAGATCTGACGCCCTCTGCTGCTCAGTGTGTGTATGTGTGTATACCTGGCATTCCCTATCACTGTAAAAAATGACCGTAAATTAGGGATGCACCGATACCACTTTTTCCAGTACTCGCCCGATACTGATACTTTTATTTTTGGTACTTGCCGATACCGAGTACCGATACCGATATTTTTATTGCATTTGTACATTTTTTAAATATTGGGTACAGAAACCAAAAGGGTATGTATAATGTTAGTTGGTTAACTTCATTTATCAAATAGATACAGTCAAACCAAAATTTATTCAGACACCTTCAACATTTCTCACATTATCACAGTTTATTCGCTATAGTTTAGAAAATGTTAATAAAATATGACAAGAACTCAGAGTTAAACTGTGTCAGAACAAATTCATCTTGATAATGCTAGATAATTTTGATAGAAAGGTATGTAATAGATTACAATCAACCAAAATAATTCAGACAGCTGTTAGTATGACAGTATTTACACAAATTTGCAAAATAAAAAAAAAATTTTTTTCAAAAAATTGCAATAAAACAAATTTACATTTTTCCCAGACTCGGTCTGAATAATTTTTGGACCCAAATTTGTATCAATTTTACTGGTAGTCCACTGTATGAAGAATTTTTGGGTATGATTTGTCACAGTTTACTTTATTTTGCTATCCTCACTTACATAAAACTATAGTGTCCTGCACCCACTAGTAAAAAAATATCAAAAATTATATCTGGTCTCTGAATCATTTTTGGTTTCACTGTATATCCTTCGGTTATTTTCACACTTAATTATGCCCATTAAAATGTATTTTTTACGATAAAATTCCGGCAACCACAGCTGCCGGTTTTTTACCATAAATTTTCACTGAATTTTTTTTACACGAGGACCAAATTTCCCCAAAAGTATATTAATACCAGTAAATGTTGTCCTTTTGGGGACATTTTTTGGTCCCCATGAGGAAACAAGCTTATAAATCAGGGTTCCTCAAATCTTGCCCTGGAGGGCCCATGCGCTGCAGAGTCTAGCTCCAACCCTGATCAGACTCACCTACCTGTGATTTTCTAATGATCCTGAAGACACTGATTAGTATGCTCAGGTGTGTTTGATTAGGGTTAGAGCTAAACTCTGCAGGAAAGTGGATCT